AAGTCTTCATGGCCAAGGCTGCAGGCAGCACCCACGCCTGACTTCCAGCCATGCGCCTCCAGCCCACCCTGTGCCCAAGGCCCGATTCACAGCAGCTACTTGGCATTGCCGCCACCGGGACGCCTCACAGTGCCTGGCCTCCCCCACCCGGCTGCTGGGAACCCGCGTGGCCTCCTGTGTCCCCCTCTTCTCCCACCCACTTCCTCGAGCTCCTTTGCCCAGCACCCGTCAGAGCCAGGAGTGCCTAGGCGTTTCCACGCGTCGGGGCAGCCCTCCGGGTGACAGGTGCAGAGGGGCCGGGGCCTCTGTGCCCCCTGGTGAGACAAGCGCCAGAGGGTCCCGAGGCTCAGGCAGAGCCCAGCTGTCCCCTGTGTGCCTCTGCGGCCGCCTCCTCCCCGTCCTCCCCCGGGGAAGCAGGTGCACTGAGCACAGTCCCCCCGCCCAGCCAGCAGGGGGCGCTGCTCGGTCACTGCAGGCTGGGCAGCCGGCGGCAAGGGAAGCCCGGACTCAGGACGGGGCTCTGGGCGGGGCTACAGCGTTCTAGAAGGGACTGGAACCGAGCCCGCTGCCCCATCGGCTCCTCCTCACCTCGCGATGCTGCCTGCCCGCTGCGCTCCTCAGTCGGGCCGGGAGTGTGGGGAGCTGTCCTGCACCCCCCGTCCCCCCAGTGCGTCCTTGGCGCGAGGCTCGCGGTGCGTGGTCTCCTACGGGAAGCCAATCCAGGACCCGGACCCCTCATCCAGGCTCCGACCGACTGCTACGACCCCGGTCTGGAGCACTGCTGGGGTCTCCCCACCTCCGCGCACAGGGGACCCACCGGCCAGGGCCTCCTCTTCCCGCTCCGGGCTCCCACCCAAATCGCGAGCCTCTGGGGAGTCCACCATCGGCGCCACCAGTCCGCCCGGGCTCCCGCCGCGGCCCCTCGGCTCGCCGTCCGCCCGGGCTCCTGCTCCGGCCCCTCGGCTCGCCGTGGGCACCGCGGGGTTGCCCGGCAGCCTCCAGCCAGGACGGATTCCGTCCACACGGCCCGAAGGGAAGCCCCTCTGACGCCTACGAAAGCCGAGCGGCACAGTGGTGCACGCACCAGGCCGGGTCAGCCTGGAGTTCATGACCACTGACTGGCCAGCGTCCAGCTGCCAGAGAGCCGATGCCACGGGACCTCAGGGCGCAGATGGGACGAGACCCCGGCGGCCACCATGGTGTTTCCGTGTGACGAGCGCCCTGCAAGCCGTGGCCTCAGCGACACAGGTGTCCCTGCCCGTCTTCAGGAGCCGGGCCTTCAGTCTCCCCCTGCCCGGCCTGGAACCGCACCGTCGGCTGCCCGGGGCTCACGGCACAGCAGGCCGGGGGGCTTCTCAGCGCCAGACCCGCGGGGGCCGGCAGCACGTCGGAAATCGGCAGACCATGTGAGGGGTCGCCGCGGCTGGGAGGAGGAGGAGGAGGGCCGGGCAGCGGCCATGACGTCGGCCTAGCGCATCCCCGGCACGGATGGGCCACGTCCAGCCGGCTGAGAGCCAGGGCTGGCCTCCCCTCCCTCGCTCCGAGGACCCGCGGGCACCAGGCTTCTGCACTGGGCTGAGCCTCTCGACGGCCCCCGGGGCCTCCGGCCTGCAGGCGGCTGCCCCGGGTGTGAGCCGAGCCCCCCTGTGCTGTAGCCTGGTCTACACTGGCTGGGGAACCCCGACTCACACGGGGTTGACAGATGCGGGCACCGAGGTGGCCGTGGGTGCAGACAGCCACAGGGGCGCAGCGACAAGCAGCCAGTCCGCCTCCCGCAAGTCCACCGGGCACCGCCCCGACGCCCGGGCTGACCTAGCTCTCGCGGCTCCGCACCCGCAGGGGAGAGCAGGCGACACAGAGCGAGTGTACGAAGCAGCAGATTCCCCGGGACGCTGGCAGGCAGGGAGAGCCGCCCAGCGAGCCCCACGTGGTGCGGCTGCAGTCCTCAGCAGGGCAGCCGCGCTCGGCCTCATAGAGAAGGTGGCGTCCGAGAGCCAAAGGGGCAGGCCTGGCCGCTGGCCCCTGGCCCCCGGCCCCCGGCCCCCGGCCCCCGGCCGCGAGCAGGCGTCCCCGGCGGAGGCGGAGCCGTGCGCGGGCTCTCGGCGGGGCCAGGTGGTGCGGTCACTCCGCGAGCGGCCGGCCGCAGGGGGTGTCCGGACGTGACGTCAGAGTCTAGGGCAAGACACATGGCCGCACGGAAAGGCACACCCAACGCCCCTCCTTTTAATGTTTTCCAAAGTCATGGACATTTACAACTCATTTTAAAAACGCATTTGGAAAACTGGGAAGGCGTGGAAAGCGCGCACCCTGCAGAATCAGGCAAAGGGAAGGAATCCTTTCCTTTGGCCCCTTGGTAACTGGCCACCGGGGACCCTGGCTGCACGAAGGCAAGATGGCGCCGCTCCTGCGGGCAAGGCGCTACCGCCCGCTCTCGGCCGCGTGCTGATGACGTCAGCCGTCATGTGACTGAGCGGCACCAATCAGAGAGCTGGGCCCTGGGCGAGTGAGCCGGCCACTCTGGTGGGGCATCTGGGTCCGACCGAGGAGCCGGAAGTTCGTGAACATGCTCTCCTGTCGCCAGGGAGGAGGGCGGAGGGGCTTTCTGTCCGCGCTGGGATCTCCTGGATCTCGGAGGATTACCGACCCTCTCCCCTTGCTCCAGCTCTGCGGACCCCAGCGTCCCCTCTCCATGTTCCCGGTCACCCCTGGTCGCAGGAGCCCTTGGTGCCCCCACCCCAGGGGAGCGGCACTGTGCCCCCCCCCGCCCCTCTGCGTGCTGGCCTTGGTCCCCCGCCCACCGTGGACCCCCGCCGTGGAGAGCACGCGCCCTGGGTGCGCGCCGGAGCCAACGCGGGGGCGGGGAAGGTCTCACTAGGGAGAGAGGACGGGCCGCGGTGACTGCGGGGCCTGCGGGGCCCCGCGCGTGACTCCTGAGGGCCCTGGTGGGGCTCCGCTGAGCAAGATGTCCCCCGCCGCCTGCGTGGTGTCCGGCGGCCACTGGACGGGGCTCAAAGTCGTACAATCGGCACGGGAGTGGGGCGCAGCTCTTAAGACACCGCTGCGCGGGGGTCACCGCACCCCATGTCTGAACGTCGGGATTGGAGTCCTGGCTCTGCTCCCGGTGCCAGCTCCCCGCTCACGGGCGCCCTGGGCGTACTGGGGTCCCTGCCGCCCACAGGCTTCCGCCTGGCCCAGCTGCAGCCGCTGTGCGCATTTAGGGAGTGAACAGCGGATGGGAGCGGCCCTCCCTCTCCCCCTCTCCCTCTCCCCCTCTCCTCTCCCCGCCCAGCTTTCAATAAATAACTGGATAAATCCATAAAGTCCATATCCCCAAGTTTCCTTTTAGGACAGGGAAGAAGGCGCTCCGTAGCCCCTGCTAGAAGGCGGGGTTGTGGAGTCAGAGCTGGGGCAGAGACGGCCAGGCGGCCTGGTGCTTCCGTGGCCGCATGGTTCGTCCCCCTCCCTGCTCTGTGCCGGCACCCCGCACAGCCTTCTTCCCGGGGGCTCTCCCAGCAGGTGCAGCCGCTGTCCCCCCTGCTCTGTGCTCGCACCCCGCACAGCCTTCTTCCCGGAGCTCTCCCAGCAGGTGCAGCCGCTGTCCCGGATCACAGCACCAGCTGCAGCCCCCGGCCCGCGGCTTCCGATCAGCTCGCTGCTGACGCCTGGGAAGCAGCGGGCGGTGGCCGAGTGCTTGGGTCCCTGCACCCGCGGGGGACTCGGCTCCTCGCTCCGGGCTTCAGCGTGGCCCAGCCCCAGCCATCGCCGCCCTTTGGAAAGCGGGCCAGCGGATGAAATCTTCAAAATAAGAAAAACAGTATTTCTCAGCGTCCCCGGAGAGACGTGGGGTTCTTGTCTTTGCTCAAGGGGTGACGGCAGAGTAGCAAGGTTTTTGGGGGACAGAGCATCCGTCAGGACGGAGCGGGCAGAGAGAGGGCGCCCTCGGAGGGGGAGAGCGAGGTTACTCGTTAAATGGAGAGAGCACACCGGGCGGGCCAGGCGGGCGGCTCAGCCTGGAGCAGAGAGCTGAGCGGGCAGTCTTTGTGTAGGCCCCCCCCCCAGCTTTTAAGGGGGTCTCTCTCTACCCCCCTCCAGGACAAAGGCTTTGTGGAATGTAAGAACCTCCCTTCCCGGGTCTGGAGAGCCCTGCACCGGGCAAAGACTTCCATGGTTGTACTGCTCCGTGTTATCAGGCCAGGAAACCCACTAGGTCCTGGGGGGAGTTCCCTGGGGGCCTTGCAGGGGCAGGGCTGGGGCCACCTGGACGCTGCCAGGGGAGCGGATGCTGGGCTGCTTCCCGGGTGGGCGTCTTCCTGAGGCCCCGCTCCCTCACACAGGCTAATGTCTAGCCTCCTGCCCAACACCAGGGCCAGCAGGGTGGCGCAGCAGGCGGGTGGTTAACTGCTGCCTGAGACGCCATGTCCCATAGGAGCCTGGTTCAAGTCCCGGCTGCTCCACTTCCGATCCAGCTCTCTGCTAATGCCCCTGGGAAAGCAGCAGAGGATGGGCCAAGTGCTCAGGCCCCTGCACACACGTGGGAGACCCCAATGAAGCTCCTGGTTCCTGGCCTCAGCCTGGCCTACCCTGGCCATTACGGCCATTTTGGGAGTGAATTGCCAGATGGAAGATCTGTCTCTCTCTCTGTCACTCTGCCTTTCAAATAAATAAAATCTTTTTTAAATAGTATCTCTCAATGGTGACACTTGGGAATTTGCAGAAGCTGCTTTGGAGTTCCAGGTGGTGGGCGTGGGCGCGGGGCAGGCCGGCGGGCGGGTGGGGTGCGGCGAGGGTTGTAGGGTAGGGTGCACCCAGATCCCAAGTGCAGCCCCCGCATGAGCCCGCAGTGTTTTCCTTATATGATCAGGCCCCGTTACGGGCGGGGCCGCTTGTCTCAGGGCCTGAGAGGAATATGAAAACGAGGCAGGCGAAGTGGGGCTCGGGGCCCGGGCAGTTAGGGGCGAGAGGGGCGGTGGGGAGGCCTCTGCCACTGTGACCGTGAGCCCTGGCCGATGACGACCAGACCACTGCACAACCTGAGTCCTGCACACCAGGCGTTGGAGTGTGTTCTGAGAACAGACCAAGGCCGGGCGAATAAAATACAAAAGAAAAAATAAAAATAAATAAAAAGAAGCTGCTTTGGTTCCTGCAATGAAGGTGTTAGTGAAGTGACACCTTGACAGCAGGGACTCCATTTTGGAGCACCTGAGACTCCATTCTGGGAAGGTGCCCCCCCACACCGTGAGACTCTGGTCTGAAACAAGGACCTAGAACAGTCGGACAATAGCAGTCCCCTCCATCACACCTGGCAGAGCACCGAACCCCCCAGCATGAGCACTCAAGCTTGGGAGGGGTAGGCTGCACCTGGGTTAATGATAAATGTGTAATTGTCTATGTCCTACGTATGATGTAAGCCAACACCTGGATTCATGTCAGGATTGTAATTGGAACTGTTAAGACTGCAACTGGTATTGTCAAGATTATAATTGATACTAGTTTCGCATAGGTTTTCGGTCAGCTTGACCCCGTAACCATGCATTCCCCCGATCCTAGCAACCATGAATTCCCCTCCTGGTTTTGCGGTTTTTGTCTTTATAAACCCTGTTGCTTTGGGCTTCGGGTCGAGAGTTCTTTAGGCATGAGCCCGCTCTCCACCCGGGAATAAGGGACGGTCAGATTGTATCAATGTGTGGAGCCCTCTGTGTGCACTGGCTCAGGTACATTAGTGCCAGGGCGGAGCAGTGCTGCCCCCGTGCCCGGGGCGCCGCACACGGTGACAAAGTCCCCTGCTGCCTGCACACAGTCCCAGTGCCTGGCAGGACACACACTGGTCGAGTGTGTGTGCCCAGAACCCCCAGAACCCGGCTCTGTCCTCCCCATCCAACCGGAGTTGCTTCTGTGCCGGGCCACGGCTGCCTGCTGCCCACAGCCCTGGGAGAGCTGGGGGAGTCGGCTGGGCCACCCAGAGAGGTGGACGCCCTCGGCAGAGGGGGCTGGTGGGGCTGCCCCATTCCCCAGGCTCTGAGAGGGCAGCAGGTGGGCACAGGGATGGGGGCAAGGGTCTCCCAGGTGCTCAATGCCCGGGGGAAGGGGCGGTGACAGCTTTAAATCCCGCAGACCCCAGGGCACAGAACTGAGGACAGTGTCTGCCCTGCCGGCCCTTCCCGCCCCCTGGGGCTCCTCCTGGAGAAGAGGGAGCCAGAGAGGGGAGACACTGTGCAGGCACCCCCACCCCCAGCCCCAGGGGCCCTGGCGGGACCAACACAACCACCTGCAGACCCTGGGTCCCTGAACTGGGATGGACAGAGACTAACGCACACGGCTCCCTCACAGCGGGACCTACCCAGTAGCCCCCACACACCTCCCGCCATGCTGGGCGCAACAGTGTCCCCGGAATCCCTGTCTGCCCCAACCGTCGGATGTGATCTCATTTGGAAATAGATCCCTGCAGAGGTACCCTCAGCGCAGTCAGCCTGGATTGGGGGGGGGGACCCTAAGCGCACCCACCGCGAAGGGAACAGCGGTGGGAGCCACGCGGCCCCGCCCAGGTCCTCCACAAGGCCGGGAGGTGGGACTCCCAGGTCTCCAAAGTCGCCCGGCCACTCCACAAACTTCAGCGGCCGGGGGGTGGGGGGGGGGGGCAAAAAGATGCTGTGCGCGCCCGACTCCAGGCTGGTTCAGCTCACGGTGGCCTGCAGGCTCCCCACTCCCACCCCGGTAACTCCGAGGCTTGGCTGGGCCGCCCACCTGCCCGCGGGAACTGGGCTTTTCCAAGCGCAAGGCAGGGCCCGCAGCCTGGTCTGCCCAGGCCCTCCTGCCCCCAGCCTGCGCCGAGAGCTGCGAGCCGGGGTCGCTCCCCGGCCCCCTACCCCCCAACAGGGTCCCCAGGCGCTCTCCACTTTTGAATCCAGCTCGTCGATGGCTGTAAATCTCATATCCCGAGGCTTAAACAAGAGCCCTGAATTTAATTAAAATCCAGCAGCCGCGAAGCCGGCGCCACTCCCGGGACCCCTCCCGTCTGAGAGCGGCGCGCGCCTCCCCCGCGCAGGGCCCGCCGACACCGCCTCGCGTCCCGCCCACTCGCGCCGGTCCTCTGCGTGTCCGGGTCCGGTCTGCCCGCAGGAAACAGCCAACCGGGAGGGAGACTCCTCCAGCCTGGGAGTCCCGGGAGTCGGGAACACAGCCCCACGCTGGGGCTTCCCGTGTGGACGCCGCGGGGCGCTGGGTGTGCCCCCAACTCCCCGTGCTGAGGGAGGGGCAGAGCGCCCGCCCGGGCCCAGGTCATCGCTAGCTCGCCAGCGCCGGCGGGGGGGCTCACGCCACCTCGCAGATGGCGGCCGCAGGCGCCCGGGGGCAGGGAGCAGGTGCCCGTGCTGGACGTGGCCATGACGGCGGGTCCTGCTCCACTCTCCCTGGTGTCCCTTGTAGGAGGAGCTCTGGACCCCCAGAGGCACTGGGGAGGGACTCGCAGACGCAAGCCCGGGAGGGCACGGCCACCTGGAAGCCGGCACGAGGCCTGGGGAAGCCAGGCCCGCCGGCGCCTTGACCTCGGCTCTCCCAGGCTTCGCAGGTGTGAGGAATGAATGGGCGGGAGGGGCTCAGGCGCCCGCCGACCCCTGCAGCTGAGGTCCGCCCTCCAACGCGGGCGGCTTCTGTTCTCTCAAGGTCAGTGTCGGGCCGGGAGAGCCCTTTGCAAGGCACGGAAGCACCGGCTGCTTGGGAGGGGTAAGAGACGTGGTGTCCGTCCTCGGGGCCAGGTCACCAGCAGGGGCAGGGGCAGGGCCGGGCTTCGCCGGAGCGCCGGCTGAGGGCTTGGAACGAGCCCCCCAAAGTCAGTGGGGGTGGGGGCCCAGACCGCCTCGCAGGGACTGTGTAGAGGCCGGGAAAGGCGCCCCCTGCAGCTCGACACCTGCACCTCCCGGCGGCGCAGCCGACAAGCGACCTCACACAACCGAATCCTGGTGTCGAATCCCGGTGTCGCTGTCGCCAACAACAAAAGCTCAACAGGGAACTGGCCCAGGAGAAGCCAGGCGACAAGAATTTCCAGCCTCTAAACACCCTGCTGGGGCCGGCACTGTAGCGTAGCCCGGAAAATCCCTGCTTGTGACGTTGGTTCCCATGTGGCTGCCAGTTCCAGTCCCGGCTGCTCCACTCCTGATCCAGCTCCCTGCTGTGGCCTGGGAAGGCAGTGGAGGATGGGCCAGGTGCTTGGGCCCTGCACCCATGTGGGAGACCCAGATGAAGCTCCTGGCTCCTGGCTTTGGCCTGGCCCAGCCCTGGCTGTTGTGGCCTTCTGGGGAGTGAACCAGAGGATGAGATCTCTCTCTCTCTCTCTCTCTCTCTCTCTCTCTGCCTCTGTCCCCCCTACTCTCTCTCTCTCTCTCTCTCTCTAACTCTGCCTCTCAAATAAACAAATTTTTTAAAAAACAAAAGAACCGAGGCCCCAACAAATCAGTAAAATTTATTATTTCCAAGCAAACAAGGAACACAAACAAATATGGACCATTGACGAGGTCGCGGAGGGAGGAAGTGCTAAAAAACGTGAGGAATTCACATCTCACAGGACAGCGCCCAGCACGACGCAGGCAGACTGAAGGGCCACACTTTATTTATTTATTTATTTATTTATTTATTTATTTTTGACAGGCAGAGTGGACAGTGAGAGAGAGAGACAGAGAGAAAGGTCTTCCTTTGCCGTTGGTTCACCCTCCAATGGCCGCCGCGGCCAGCGCACCGCGCTGATCCGATGGCAGGAGCCAGGTGCTTCTCCTGGTCTCCCATGGGGTGCAGGGCCCAAGCACCTGGGCCATCCTCCACTGCACTCCTGGGCCACAGCAGACAGCTGGCCTGGAAGAGGGGCAACCGGGACAGAATCCGGCACCCCGACCGGGACTAGAACCCGGTGTGCCGGTGCCACAGGCAGAGGATTAGCCTAGTGAGCCGTGGCACCGGCAAAGGGCCACACTTTAAAAAAGAAGGTTTAGCCCCACTCACTTAGAAACAGAAATTAGCCCTAGATGACTGCAGATGATAAAGGAGCTCACAAATACGACAAAATGTTTAGATTCGACGGCTACAAAAGCGCCCGCTGTCAGAACCTGCGGGGTGCAGCCATGGCGTGCCGGCATCCAACCTGAGAAGCCAGAAGAGAGAGAAAGTGGAAGGGATGCGGTAAACATGGCAAAGAAAACCTAAACTAGCAGGCACCGTGCAGTACTGGAGGTGACAAGGGCGGGAGAGCCGCTTGCTCCCTGCCTGGGGTCCCTGCCCAGCCTCTCTCCCCCCTCCACGGCGCTACCCAGGGGACAGGAGCAGGGAGACACCTGCCACTGCCTGTCCCTGCTTCCTCTCCTCTCTCCCTCTCCCTCTCCGTCTCCCTCTCCCTCTTCCTTTCAAATAAATAAATCCTTTTTAAAAATTCAGGAATAAGTAGGAATTCCAGTGCCTGCTCCTCTGCTGACTGGAGGTCCTACCAATTCAGTGAGGCCAAAGAAATAAACAGCATGAAACAGGAGGGAGCCAACACACGCGACTCCGGCTGACAGCGCGGTTGTCTACACAGAACACCCAAGAGCTTCTGTGTGCCCTGAAACGTAGGGACGCTTTGGCAGGGTGCTGGACGCGGACCAATGTGTGTTGAGATGCCAGCGCTATCCCTAACGGGTCAGAAACAGTATAAGGGGGCCAGCAGTGGCACAGCCGGTAAAGCCGCTGCCTGCGACGCCGGCAGCCCGTGGAGGTGCCGATTCAAGTCCCGGCCGCTCCACTTCCCATCCAGCTGCCTGCTGATGGGCCAAGTGTTTGAGCCCCTGCACCCATGTGGGAGCCCCGGATGGAGTCCGGGCTCCTGGCTGCAGCCTGAGCCAGCGCTTCTGGGGATGAAGCAGCCGATGGAAGTTTGCCTCTGTCTCTGTAACTCTGCCTTTCAGATACATAAATCCGTAAAAGCAACAAGGCATCACCCGATAGTGACCACTGGGGACTGAAACTAAGGAGAGGGACCCGTACAACCGCTACAGAGGAGACTGCAGAGTAGGATGGGGAACACCCTGAAATGCAACAGCGAAGGGCCACGAGTCACCCCAACAG